CTCAGCAATATTTCGTATTTTAAAATGTGGTTTTTGGAAATTCATTTTGCTTTAGAATTTGTTTTTTTTCTGAGGTAGCTAATATAATATTTTCTCAATTAGTTTTCCGTAGAGACTCTAAAATTTTTTAGAAGTATTTTGTTATAAATACATTTTGTTGTGGCTATTAGAATAGAAACCAGCTTGTCATTCTGGCTGGTAATCTTCTAAGTTTCTGTGTAATAATGGTGTTTTTTGTCAATAGTAGGTAAGAATTTTTTAGCCAAAAACGTTTCTGTCCATCAGCGTAATAATTTTTAGTTCAAAAAAACTTCTTTTATAACTGTTACAGTCATCTCACTGCTGTCTTAATAAGATTCCACAAAAGTTTGGGAATGCTAATAAGCCTCGTAACAGGGCTTTTTTGAGACTTATCTGTGTTGTGTACAGACTGAAACGTCAAGCACTAGCCTTAGTTCAGTGGCAGTTTCTTACAGAGTGATGACTTATTTACAGAGCAAATAATAGCTGAGGTTTGTGTTTCAAGTAAACAGAACTTGGTTAATCATTTTTGAATTTAGGTGATCTTTTACTTTTTGTAATAATTAAAATTCCCCGATTTTTATCTCATAAATGTCGTAGTCTCTCAAAAATTTGAAATTTTATACTAGCTTGAGTATCTGGTCTTCCTTTCGCTCAGAGGTTTCTAAACAATGAACTTCATTCTTTCAGTAATGGTAAGACTCAGTCTTGTGTCAGTTTAAAAAAAAAACGTGATTCTAAAACTTAAATATTTTTAAAAAATTATAGTCGTATGTCTTCCCAATTAATTCTCCCAACCTGTTTCTATTGGACTCTTTGTGACATTTTTTTCCATTTATCACTTTCTGTTAGTCATTGACTTAATCTAACAAACCCTATTTCTTCTGCAAAATTTAAAGGCGTAAAAGCTTGAACTTTTATTAAATCGAAAGCTCTGCAGAAAAAGCTTATTTTTAGCTCGCAGGATTTGTAAACAATTGGTAGACACTGAACTGGATTTTCTCGCTTTTAGGTAGTGCAAGGTTTATTAGGTTTTGACTTTTAAAATTAGCTAGGTTTTTCTCAGTTTAAGATATACTGAGCTTCTGTGATTTAGGTGTTTCTACTATGATTACGTCAACTGCTACCAAGGTTTTCTTCAAACTTTTGTAGTACAACGAGAAGTTTTTTTCTAATATATTGGAGACTGTACTGAAAAGAAGATATCTGTAGATCGAGTCTGTTTTTTTATAGTTTTGAGAGAATTAAATTATGCCGTTTATTAAAACATTGGCAAATTTTAAGGTATACACGACACCGCTTAATTTTACAACGTTTTTAAAACGTTTTAAATATAATTTCAATCTCGGTGCTCTCTTATTTCATTTTTCTATAAGATAATATTTAGTACACTGTGTATATAATTTAGTGCTATTTATTATAAAATACACAGCTTATCAATTTCTTTGTCTCTCTTTGTTCTATCCACCTTTTTGAACTTTTTCTTATACTATTTTTTACATTCTTTTTATCAGTTATTTTATTCTAAGTCATCTTTAGCTATCGACAACAAAAAATTTAGAAAGATTAAGTGAGATTAAGTGACAAAATAGTTCAATTAAACCTCACCTGATCCTATGCGCTAATATACAGGATTTTTGCAGAATTGTTTGAGCAGTTCTTCAAAGAGTCACTTAATCAAGCTTCAAGCAAGCTTATGTTTTTAATTTTCTGATTCTTAATTCAAGCAGAACTTTTCAAGATCGATGAATCTTTTATTGTTACTCTAATCGTTTTCAGGTTTACATCTTTAGAAATCCTTCAAATTGCTGGAAAACTATTGATTTTTTGATTATCTTTTGAAGTTTTGTTCAATTCTTTTAGCGAGATTTTTTCGTATTAGTTCTTTAGTGAGTTTCTTAATTTAGCTTTAAACCAGCTTATTTTTTTAGTTTTCTGATTCTTAATTTAAGCAGAACTTTTCAAGATCGATGAATCCTTTATTATTACTTTAATCGTTTTCAGGTTTACATCTTTAGAAATCCTTCAAATTGCTGGAGAACATTATTAATTCTTTGATCATCTTTTAAAGCTTCGTTTAATTCTTTTAACAAGATTTTTTCGTATTAGTTTGATAAGATTTTCATCGCTTTATGTGGCTTATCGATCTGCCTTTTTAAGTTGTTTTTTAACTACTTTACAGTTAGCAGGCGTTATTTGACTGTCACAACCGCTGCATTTGGTTCAAACAGCAATTTCTATCTATATAGATTTCTAAAGTAATCTGGAGAAGGACTATTTAGTTGAGTTCCTGCAAAAGCCAGAAATTACGAAAACACGTAAGAGAAGTTTCTCCTTTTATGTCTTTTTTGATTATTAATTCTTATCATTTGTCACTGCATTATTCTCTGTTAACTTCTGAAACAACTGCTGTTTTTTCAGTCTTTCTTAGCTGATTACTTTCTTTCAAAAAATCTTCGCTTGGTTCATTATATTGTTCTTCTTCGGTGGACTTTTTCATTCAAGAATTCTATCCATTTATGATAAATATTCCCTGCTTGTTCTAAATTTTTTCTCAGAAAATTTATTTCAGTTCTTTCATTATAAATTCTGTACAGTTTCTAATTAATGCAAAATTTTTCTCTGTCATTACTAAATTTTGTTAGTTCTATAATTTTTTCATTTTTTGATAAGTTATCAATTTTTTGATTTAAAGACATTCTTAGTATACCGCTTAGTTTTATTATAAAACTAATAATCTCGAGCTTCAAAGTCAATTATTGTAAGAAAACTGAAAGATGAAAATTTGGCAACACAGTATATAATTATTTTTTAAGGTACCCGTGAACGACAAATCTGAAATAGTTTTGACGTTTCCTTTTACTGAGTTGAAATTAATAGTTCTTATTTTTTGGTACTTTCGTTATCGACTGATATTATTTGCAATGTTTATTTAGTTTTGAATATTTGCAGTTCGTTAGTCTTCTTAGAATTAATCATTTAGCATTTTTTAATGCAGCTTCATTGAAAGAAGCGAAAAAAAAAAGATACTTTGAGATTACGGCGCTTGGATTTCCACAGTGGGAGAAAATGTGGAAGAATTAGCGAATTAGAAAAGTGGTAAAATATTTGCTTCTAAAAATTACAGTTTTTAAGAGCTTTTTCAAATAGAGATTGTTAAAAGTTCTATTTGTCGTTAAATGTTGTGATTAGCATCAGTTAAAGTTCTCTTTAAAACCTCAAAGAATACTGATAAGAGATGCCTGCAGTATTTTAACTACTTTCCAGTAAGCTTCGTAAACTTCTCAAGCATTTGTACTTTTAGATTATTTTTGAAAATCAAATACACATGTGCATTTATCGTTTTTATATTCAATAGTTTATATATTAAGGCTTGTATGATAAGTCAATTTTAAATAAAGCAAGAAAAAAAAAACAGCTACTGTTATTGACGGTAAGCAATAGTGTTTCTGTTTAACTTTGAAATATGAACCTTTGCCAGGTGTTTACCTATTGAATAGTGCAGCATTTGTTAAAGCGTTTACTCAGTTGTAAGCTTGGTATTTTCAAGTCTAAACAGACCAAAAAATGGTAATCAACTCAGGGTGCTTTATGGCTGCAAATAGAAAAAAGAATAGCTTACAAACAAATTTCTCATTTTTAACATGCAAATAAATATTTTTTAAATGTATGATTGATAAGAATTGTTAACCATCGCTGTTGCTGAGAATTTCTATGCTTGAGTAAGATGACTGGATAAGATGACATTTATTGTAGTCTGTTACAGTTTTTTCATTGTATTTAAAGTCTTTCATTTTTAACGGTTATTATCAATACAGTACAACTTTAGTAAAATATAATTTTATTATTCATACATTTTGTTGTTCATCTGTGAAAGAAAGAAGAGGACGGCAAATTGTGGAACACGTAATAGAAGAGGATCACTGCAGAACAAAGTTTTTGGCGTTATTAAATTCCCGTTTAAAGCTGAAATATTAAAGCTGTGAAGGATGAATAACAGTTATACAAAACCAAAATCATACTAAGACGAGAAGGTAGCATAAAAAAATTGAAATATTTTTTGATTTTCTTCAATTTTACATCAAGTAACCTGTGCCTCGACAGATTTTCCATACTTAGCTTTGATTGCAGCAATATCTTTCTTGAATTGAGCATATGAAGCCTAAAAAAAGTACAGCTATTAGTTTTGACCTGTCAGTTCTGTCAGCCAATTTTTTTTAGTTAAAGAAAAATTAGATAAAATTTTGACAGGTAAAATATAATTATCTTTATTTACCTGAACTTTTGAACCTAATTTTGCGACAAGAGCATCAATTGCCTTATCTTTCTGTGAAGATGTCCAATCCCTGGAGATGATGTTGTAGAAAGCCTTCAATTTACTAGTATAATTACACTACTAAAAAGAAGTTTCAAGAAGTAGCTGTCAATATAAAAACTATTTTGGTGGTAGCACGTAGAAAAGGCGTTTTTTCAAGTAAGACTAGCAATGACCTCTTTAGCCTGTTCGCTGGCCCCAACAAGGAAGACAGGTGTTGGTCGATTCTTTGAATTTTGAGATGTAACAACAACAACCAGTAAACAAACTAAGGCAATAACCTTAATCATGGTGAAATAAACTTGCGGAGGTTTATACAACTGAAAAGCTAAGTCATGAGCAAAATAAAGAGTAAAAACGCTGAGATTCTTCTGATCAGCAGCACGTGAAGAATTCAACAATTGAATTGGCTAAAAGCAAAGTTTAAACTAACTTTATGCTGTATTTTTTCGTTAATTTCAAAAGATAATTGACTTCTCGCTATATTGACTTTCTTTCAGCATGTTAGTACAAAATTAAAAAAATAAGTAATGTTAAGAAAATAATAACGACAACGAATAGGTGACTTAAGTGTTTCTGTCACACTCCCTATGTTTGGCCAGGAAATTTGATGAAACTAAAATTAGACAAATTGATGAACGATTAAATAGATGGATAGATGAAAGGATGAATAGAAGGCTAAACATTTGCTGATGTACATTGCAAAAGTTACCAAGCTTAAATAGGAAAATGCTGCTGCTGTAAATGTTGGTGGAGGAAAAGGGGAGGAAAAAAATTTGCTTAAAAAACATGCAAATTATACCCGTTTTTGAAGTGACAAAAAAAAAATTTGATTAGTTTTTTACTGTGTACTGCTCACTGTAATGCTTCCAAGTCGGTAAATAATAGTGAAAAAAAACTCTTCGCTTTTTGGTAAATAAAGCTGTTAAGTAAAAAAAAAAAAAGGATGATATAAGATTGTTTAAAGGCATAGAGAAAGAGAACGTATGATAGAATAGAATCTAATGCAGGAGAACAGATCAGAAGCTTCAAATTCATGCAGTTAAAGGTATTTTTGTGCATTTTTTTAGCTTAGTGAATGATACAAACAGATATTGATGTATAAAAATTTAGAAAGAAAAAAAAAAAAATCAAGAATACAAAGGTAATAAATAAATTTTACAGTTGTTGTATAAAATGTAGCTTTAAATTTTTTTGTTTTTATACTCAATTCGATCAAGTCAATTTTACTGTTCAGTCAGCACCTGTATTTTAGTTTCAAAATATCGCAATTTTTTCCTTCTGAACAAAAATATATTATTCAACAATTGATGACTTTTTTGATTCAATCACAGATGTTGCAAATTTTACATGCATTTTGTTGAGTCATCCTACCAAATTCTGTGACTAAAAATTTTGAACAACAATGAACAAACATACAGCTTTGTTCATTTGCTTGACAGATTACAGACTACCTTCCTTCTTGTTTTGTTGCTGCTTCTATTCTTCAGTAACAGCCTTCTAAAACAACAGATGTTTTTTTTTTT